AGCGAAAGGCAGCTTTCTTCGCAGGGCAGGAAGGCTGTGCGAGATGTGCCTGGTGAGCTGCTCTCTTTTTTGCCAGTAGCTGTTGGATTTCTTGGTCGTTTTTGTCAAACCAGTCTTTGCTCTTTCTCCCAGAGAAACCTAAGACTTCCTCCGAGGACTTCAGGACAACAGTTTTCAGTTGAGCCCAGAGTGTTTCTGGGCAGGAGTCTGTAGGGCAGTCCAGACTTCCAGCTTAGACTGAAGGTGGGATTGGAGGTCAGCCTTCACTACATCAGACTCCAGTCTGCCAACGTGGAGTTTCTTCCTGGGAGGACCTCCGCGTTTAGGTTTTGGCTTGAAGTGAAGGGTTAGTTTGCATCGTACCAGGCGGTGGTCTGTGTGGCATTCTGCACTGGGCATCACTCTAGTGTGCAAGACATCCTTGAGGTCTCATTGGCAGACAAGGATGTAGTCTATGAGGTGCCAATGCTTTGACCGGGGATGCATCCAGGTTGTCTTGAGACTGTCTTTCTGTTGAAAGATGGTGTTTGTGATGGCTAACTGCAGCTCGGAGCAAAATTCCAGCAGGAGACGCCCATTTTCGTTGCAGTTCCCAACGCCATGCTTTCTAAGGGCACCTTTCCATGCTACTGAATCTCTGCCCACTCTGGCGTTAAAATCCCCAAGGATAATAACCTTGTCGCCTGCAGGGGTGTTCCGCACTAGTCTGCGCAAGTCAGTGTAAAACTTGTCCTTGTCGGTTGGATCTGCTTGAAGAGTCGGGGCGTACACGCTAAAGAGGGTGACGTGCTGTTTCTTTGTCAGAGGCAGACGCATGGAGATGATGCGGTCAGAGTGACCTGTTGGTAAGTTCTCCAGTTTTGAGGCTATGGTGTTCTCAATCATGAAGCCCACTCCTGAGAGACGACACTCTGGCTGAGGCTTGCCTGACCAGTAGAGTAGCCAGTGCACCCTGCTCCTTGAGGCTACCGACATCTGGAAGTCGAACTTCGCTGAGAGCAGCGATGTCGATACTTAGGCGGCTGAGCTCGCGCGCAACTAGGGCAGAGCGGCGTTGAGGGCGGTTATTGTCCGTGGAGTCTAGCATGGTCCTGACATTCCAACATGCTAGTCTGAGTCCTGTCATACCTTTATGGGCAGGTATGGAGCCTCTATTTCTTGTCTTTGTTCGACCACTTGAGAAGATGCCTGTTGGCCGCGGCTAGCCAACTGGGTAGGTTGAGGATGAGCTTTGTTTGGACCACCTTTTGTAGGTCCGCCTCCGTGCTCCGGAGCGAGCAGTGCTTTCCTCAATAGGCTGCTCGGTCATTCAGGGTGCTGCCGAGTGGTGTTGTCATCTTCAGGTTAACAATCACACGACCAATATCCTGAACTGCCTGCATGCAGGATTGGAACTGCAGCTTGGGTGACATCTTCCACCTGCCGGTTCGCCCCTTTCCCATCGCTGCAGGACTTTGTGGGGGGAGAGGGCCCTTGGGGCCTGTGCAGTGGCTTTTAAAGGTGAGAGACGGTGTGCGCAGTACTGTTCCCACCCTTTGCACCCGGGGTTCGTCTGCCATAGCCTAGTAAACTGGGACGGTGACAGTCAGGTCCTCGGGTCGTAGGTTTTAAGTCAGACTTTCCTTGTCCTAGATGGATTGCCCCGGTTGACAAGGGCTATCGAGCTCCATCTGCCCTACAGGGACCCTTCCTTTAGCGACAATCCAATGTCCACCCCCTCATTCGAGGTTACAGAGTAGGGACGTAACACCTACCCCAGGACTAGGAAATTGGTACATTCGGGCCCTCGCACCGCTTCAAGGCGGAAGGGTCGGGAACCGATGTTCGGTATATATCTACAGGACATCGCCACACATATTTATATATATATATATATATATTGTCGTGTGGAGATGTCCTGTAGCCGCATTCAGTCTTTCTTCATATTTCTTCAGTCATTCTTTCTTTCAGTCTTATCACATCGGGATATATATATGTATTTATGTCCTACCTGGGCCGCGATTACGTTGGATACGGGTGTTCCGGCCTGTGTGATAACTAGCAGTACGGCCCGGGGGTTCTGAACGCGTACGGCCCGGGGCTTCCAAATGTTCCAGAGAACGATTCGAACGCGTTTCACCCTAACCGCGTGCAACGCTTTCGAAAATTCGAATGCAAAATTCGGACGTTGGAATTGATGTTGTTGCATGGTTTGGGTTTAGGGACACCAAATTGTCGCTCATTTCGCACTGAAAGGCGTGTTTTTTGGGTGGGTATGACATAAATAAAATACAACACGGTGTATTCTG